CTCTCGCCACAAATAGTTTCTCCGTTAGGGAATTCGCTGGCAGGGCCAGGCAGGGAACACTCAGTTCCAACTTTCCCCCCAAGTGGCTCCGGCTGCATTTCTGAGGCCCTCTCCCCAGAGACCTGGCGGGCCAAGTAGGGAAACATTCGCGGGAGGAATCCGGGGGGAGCCCGGCGGGGGAGCCCGGGCGGCGCAGCCCGAGCGGAGCGGGCCTCTCCGGCCCAGGGCGGGCGGCGGGGGTGTGCCGCTCCCACAGCCGTGTGTGCCCTTGTCCCCGCCGACCGTGTCGCACCCCGCCGGGCCGGCGCGGCTGCGGGTGTGCATGTTTGTGTGCGTGCACAGACGCCCGTGTGCTCCCCCGCCGCGCGCCTGCGTGTGGCAGGACACGGCCTGTGTCTGTCTCGACCCCGTGTGAGTCTATTTCTGGGCATGGGAGTCTTTGTCTCCACGCGAGAAAGCGAGGGGAAGAGGGACAGTGTTTGGGAAAGAGGGACACGAGCCGGCCGAGAACAGGAAGAGAAGGGACGAGGGCCAGGGCCGGGGTGGGTGGAAAGAATGAGGCGAGCCGGGCTCGGCGGCCGTGGGGTGAAGGGCCGGAGGAGCTGGGCAGCTGAGCGTGGTCGGGCCAGCCTCGAGACCCCAAAGCAAGCAAGAGCGAGGGCGGGATGCTGAGGGAGCCCCAGAAGGGGCGGTGAGGAGGGCGCTGGCAGTCCCCGTAGGGGAGGGACAGAAAGAGGAGGGGCGAATCCCGAGATCCCCAGGCCGGGAGCCCTGCCCCGCCCCTGCCGAAGGCCACACCCCTCTCCCCTCCTGGCGGAGGAGGAGCCCAGGGGGACAGCAGTGGTCCGAGGTGACAGGCTTGCAGGGGCTCACTGTCCAGCCCAGGTGAGGTAGCACTCTGAGGTCGGGCCATGAGGCCCCAGCATGACTGGGGGTCCTGGCCCCACCCTTCAGAACGGCTCAGGGCAGGCCGAGGAAGCAGCCTGCTGCCTGGGAGCCTTTCCACCTGCAGCCCCCATCCCTGGGGGCCTGCACGCGCCTGGGTGTCGCTGCTCAGTCTGTGTGAAAAGCCAGGGGCGTCTGGCCTGGAATGCCTCTCCTCTCCCCCTGGACTGGCAGGGGCTGAGAGAGTCCTTCCTACCAGACCTCACTGGGGCACCCCACACCCACGGTACAGAGAGACTGGGCCTAGAGGGGTGGAGGTGGGTGGAGGGCTGCCTGTCAGCCATGGCCATGAAGATAGCGCAGGCCACCTGGGGGGGGCAGCTCCAGTGTGACGCCTAACCTCCAACCAAGTGTCCAAGGCTCCTCTCCCTCCGGCTTTAGCCCTCACCTCCTCTCTCCTGCTGCAGCACACTCATCCTCCAAAAGCCAGCACAGGCCCCACCTTTTCCAGGAAGCCTTCCCTGACCCACTCAATGTGCGGACCTTTCTCTTCTCCCAGTGCCCAGTGCCACAAACCCTGCACCACGAACTGACACTGGCCTGGCATGCCTGATGTGACCTGGCCTTCATGTCTAAGAGTAAGTTTTAGCCACCTGAGGTCAGAGCCAGGTCTTCAAGTCCCACTCCCCGCTGGGTACAGGGGCTCAATACCAGGGCCAGTGACACTCGTCAGTGAGTGGAGCTGGGACGAGGCCAGTCTGCTGGAGGTGTCACCACAGTACCCCCACCGCTGTGGGTGCTTCCAGTCGGAATATGCAAGCCATGGGCTTCAGAGGTCTGGGGTGGGGGTGGACATGGCTAGACTTCCTGTACAGCTCAGTGCTCTCAACTTTAGGCACGACCCTTTGGGAGAAGAAGACAGCAGAGGAGGTGGTTGGGCACCCCAGCTTGGGCAACTGGGAACCCTGAGCCAGGGGGATGGAGAATGGAAAGCCTCTGGGTATGGGGCTTGGTGGTGGAGGAGGCTGACAGAGGAGTTGGGAGCAGGGCTGTGTCCACACTATCGGAGTCTTGGCGAGTGCTGCTCAGGTCCCCAGACCAGCGCTCTCCTGAGTACACACCCGCGAAGCACACCCGCCAGGCACAAACACTACTGCAAGCAGACAGGGACAAGGAGACACGCAGTCGGCACACCTTGACCACTGCCACATCTCAGGCAAGGAGGCCCATTCACCAGGGCGACGGCCAGCAAACACGCCTGCAAGCTGCTTTTACAAGGGGCACCGTAGGTGTGCGGACGGGACACCGGGAGCCGTCGGGCCAGAAAGCAGGGGCGGCACCCATGTGGGGTCCCAGGCCAGGGCTCCCTCCTCACAAAGGCCAGGAACCCCGACGACCGTGCCACGCCGCTGACAGTTCCCGCGGGGTGCGAAGGAGGCCAGGGAAAGCCCGGACTGCCCCCAACTGGACAGGGCGCAGGCCGCACTCGGGCGAGAACGGCCGCCCCGGAGCCGGAGTCCCCCCTGCCGTCCCCCCATCCCTCCTTCCCTCGCTGAAGCACCACCAGCACCAAATGGCAAAGCGCCGTTCCCCGCGCAGGGAGAGATGCGCCGCGGCCTGCGGGAC